ATAACGTATTATTAAAAACAATATGAACCCGTGTTTCCTCGGTAATGTTAGACGATAATTGCATGTCGTGGGGTTTAGTATAACGGTCACAATCACTGAAAAAAAAGAATTTCATTTTTGTTATCTCGTCAAATCGTGATGTGAAATGGGATAACAATGGCGATAATTATATGTTGTGGACGAGATAGCCGCCTAAGTCCATAATACTGATGTGTATAAAACGCCGGGAATGTCGTCAACAATCTAAGAGAAGACTACTGTGCGCCTTACTCTATGAACAGATAATAAAAGGCGCTCCGTATCGAATGTCTGCCCGTGAGACTTTCGCGTTAGGATGATTTTTTTAAAAGAAAAAAAATGTATCGTTAATATCTTAAAACATACAATACCCCGTGTAAGTAGTGATATCGTATATCCCAATTGTCACAATATCGCGAAATTCATGGTATCTTGCCTGATTTTAAAAAAATTCAAAGAAATAACTTTTGTATGTTTTAGCGAAAACAGTTACGATGTTCACATTTCGACCGTATATTGTATGATTTATGTCCGTTATCGCATTATGCATGTTCATCTTCTTTCTTATAATAAAAGAGCCGCAGCGAATCTTTAATTTAACACGGTGAAGGTTAAAACTTTTTATCACCGTAAAGTGACAACCTGTGTGATCCCTAAAGTCAATAAAAGAGCCGCAGCGAATCTTTAATTTAACACAGTGAATGTCAAATGTCGTTTTAAAACACATTAATAATCCCATTGTGTGCGTTTAAAACTGGCTCACCTACCAGGATGTTCCGGCGTGGTTCCCCCTTGCCAGTGATGCAGAACAGATGGCCGAGGTCTCGTGTACACATAGACAGAGAGAGAGAGAGAGAGAGAGAGAGGGGGGGGGGTAATGTCCACTTGACAATAACTAGATCATTTCCGGACTAACATATGGTTCAATTTTATTTCAATAATTCGCTTGCGCTGCGCGTTGGGGTCTTTAGCAGTAGGAGAAAACTCACAAGGGTGAACCCACTCCTTGTCACGTACAGCGCTTGTGATACAGCGCGCATGTGCTAACCATTCGGCCATAACCCCCCCCCCCCCGTGTACAGATTGGCGTGTACGTAAAAGAACCCTTGATGGCAGTTTGAATTCGGTATAAAAATGAAATGAAATGAAATGGGATTAAACGCCCTACTGTTCTGCTCCTAACCTGGGCTAATGAAGACGGGCATACGCCATACAGTGTGCTATGAGGGAAATTTTGCCCGGGCAGATTTACGTGCACGCCAATGTGTACACGGGACCTCGGTTTTTCGTCCCATCCGAACGACTAGACAGTTGTCCTTGTTAGGACCTCCATCCTGCATCACTGACAAGGGGAAACCACACTGAAAATCTGAATGAACTTTCTCGGCCAATGCAGGGATCGAACACCCGACCTCCAGGCTAGCGTCCAGCATTCTACCCACTTAGCCACGTGATCTCCTGAATTCGGTATAAGAGTAGATCCTAGCCACAGTATGTATTTAACATATAATTACACACAATATACAACACATTTTAAATTATATAGATTCGGAAACAAGCAAGAAAACTTATATGAGTCCGTGGTGCCACTACTGTCCTGGCAAAATTTCCTTCATAGCACAGTATATGGCGTATGCTCGTATTCATTAGCCCAGTCGCAACAGAACAGTAGGACGTTAAACCACATTTCATTTCGCAAACCAGAAGGTCCGGTTTGTTTTCGATCCCGGTGTTGGTCGAGGATACTTCTTGGTTTCCCCTTTGTGCAGAATGGAGGCCCCGGCAAGGAATAACGTCCAGTCGTTCGGTTGGAACGGAAAACCAACGGAAACGCCGCTTCCTGGATCAAATGTCCCTCATAGCAAACGCCATGGTGTATGTCTGACTGTATTAGCCCAGTAGACGCAGATAAGTGAGACGTCAAATCCAATTTCATTTCATTTTCCCCGAGACACGGATGTCACGTCAATTATTGATTCGTTATATGTTTTGAGCAGGTATTACTTCTGGTGTGAGACAAGGCTCCGATCTATGTCCTCTCTTCTTCTGTTTGTAAATCAACGATATAATTGAACTTTGCCATCTTTAATTCAAGCCTCCTGACCAACGTGAATGTGCGATACGGCAACGGTTTGATATACGTTAATTACCAAACTGATCCGCAATGAATTGTTTTCCTCTGTCGCTCTCGTATAATCAGTATGGAACAGACTGGTGAATTATTTGATCTCTGTGAAGACATAAGATACTTGAAATCTCCGGATGAACGATCCCTCGGTCGCATTCGCATCATCAGAGGGAAACAGTTTAACAAGTTATGGGACGTCTGAGAGGAATTGAAATGAAAATAAGATTTTTGAAATCTCAGAATACAGCGAATGTACTATCCCTCAGCGGGAAACTGTTCGACAAATTATGGGACGTCTGAGAAGAAGCGAAAAGAAAATAAGACAAACAAGAATCTCAGAATGACCTTTGACACAGTCTAAAAATTGGGTCGAATCAAGACTAATTTAAGTCACATCCGTCATTTCTGTCACGCGGTTTTAAAACTTGAACTCTAAATAAAGATAGCTATATAATTTTTAAAAAATATATTAAACCCAACATGAATGATAATTATAATACAATTAAGAATACATTAAAGCTGTCGAGGATGTCACAGTAAATGAGAAATTTATTCTTAGTAATTTGTGAGCTTGTCATATCTCCGTCCATTAATTCGAAGCGATACGATCTATACACATTTACAAGATATTCGATGTTAAAGGCCTATTTAAGAAAAAAGCCATAAAAAATCCCGTTAAAAACCGTTATTACTTTATGCTTTAGTACGCCACACCCCTTATTTTCTTTATACATACCTCTGTCAAATCGTCTTGATGAATAGAAAACACGTTCTTTTGAAATACGCTGATGGTGGATATAAAAAGAAAGTTATTGTATCTGCTGTTTCGTTTTCAGAAAATAAATTGTTCAGTTGCAGTCAACCGTTAGTCCTAGAAAGGGGCTGGCTTAATTTTAACGAATTCATAACAAGATTCTATTCAGGCGGACTCTATATATAAAAAATAAAGAGGATGAGTTTTTATACGTTTTACTAAAGGCTAACTTCGACTTTAGTTAATCAGTTTGTCGGAAACACACATAGCAAATACTTGACGCTATCACACGAACAAAGGGTTATGGTCGAATGATATGGTCACCTCTAGTGAAGGAAAGCAGAATATGAAAAGACGTTATAGTACCATTTAAATCATACAAATTTATCCAACACGCTGAGTAAAAAAAAGATGATTGCCCCTTTTGTGTTATTTCCATTTAAATTAATGGGTTTAGATTCTTTAAATATTTTCGCTATAACCGTGACAATATGCCTGAGACAACCTAGGTTCACACAACCTAGAAACCATTTTGTTTTTAGTGATTAACGCGTGATGTATTATTTGTTTTGTTTGCCAGGAGTATTCTGGTCGGTTCCCCCGTGTCAGTGAGGGGAGGGGGGGGGCTGACAAAGATCAGTGTCTAGTAGTTCGGATTGGACGACAAACCGAGGTTTCGTGTATTTATTGGCGTATTCGTAAACGAACTCGTAATAAGATAAGGCCGTAGTGTCGCTGCCCGGGCAAAATTTCCCTCACAGCACACTGTATGGCGTATACCCGTCTTCATTAACCCAATCCTTCATCTGATTAAAACTCGGATCCTGTTTCGTTTCGTTTTTTATAGTTCAAAATTTCGTTTTACTTGTCTTTGTCTTTTTGTTTTACTACCCTAGGATCTGGAAGAGTTGTAATATAACCCGCGTTCTGGATGGTGTGCGTTATTAGCCAATGAAACAGTCTGTTACGGCGAGGTTTTGGTGTGAGGTACACAGAACTGTGGGTAACCCACTAGAAACATCGACCTTGATTAGTTAATCAAATGTCTGACGTCATAGCGCCAAAGGCCGCTCGTATGACCCCTGACATGACCCTCACTACATCCGGTCAGAACGTCATGTAGTAGAGGCCATCGAAAGTATAAAAAAACGAAACGAAATATAGATCTGTATTTTAATCATATTGTGTGTATCTCAACTTCACACAAACTTTGGAGCAAAGACAAGCACAGTTCGTAGAAAAAAGCAGGGAGTTAAACTCTATTTCATTTTATTTCATTATAAATGCCAGCAACAATAAAGGCGATAAATATAAAAATAAATAAATAGACAACAAAAATAATATGGTATCATTTAAAATATGATCACCTGTAACTGGTATGTCGAAAAAGAAAGAAAGTTTAGAATCTTTTTTGTTTGAAACCGCATCCGTGTTCAACCCGTAGCAGGAAAGTTAATAAAAAGCGGATCTATAGCGGTCGCAAGAAATAGATCATTGTTGTTATATTTAGTTAAAACTCGAAGACTCTCTGACACGTCAAAATTCATATCACATTTCAATTATCGGTTAATTTTACAAATTGTTAACAAAATTGTCCAAACCGGTAAAAAAAAATGATTAAAAAACGTTTAGTCACTGTGATACTTTCAAACGAAGTGAAGATTACATTTTTAACGACACGACATAAAAAAAATTAATTGAATAGGCAACGGTTTAATTTTCTGTGTTGACATCACCAAAGAAAACATCTTTTTGTTCTGAAATTTGAGGGTTTTCCTGCGTAATTGCCTCGCCCAAATTTTATGATAGTTTCACATGAGATGATCTTATCACTAAAATATGTTTTTCTTTTCAAATTTTATGAATATAAAAACTTTGATGGGTCTTTTATGCACTAGTTTTACCTATTATCTGCATTTACGCCAAGTTAGTGCATACTGAATAAACCAAGAGAAAGCTGCGACAATTTTATTAGCTGATATATACTTTTACGGTTACGGTTCGCTTACGTTCTCCTTTTACATGTCCTCTCACCCGAAGAGACCCCTCGACGACTTTCGCCGCTATACATAGCCTTCATTTTAATCCGCAACACTGTATCCGCATCGTTTCATCTGATACCTGGCCTTACATTTTCAGCTTAAATCTATAAACACGGATTATATTCACCTGATGGACGAAAATTTACTTTTAAAAAAACATCGTTTTACGTTTCACGGCAGCTGAGAAAAGTTACTTTTAAAAGACACACCAAATTTGGATCAGTGATAGAAAATTGGTTTCAGTTTAACATTTAGTGGGATAATCCTTTACAAATACAAGTTTGGATAATTTCTAGTGGTCAGATTAGTAAATTGACATTGTAGAAAATATACCTGGGACAAAATATAGTCACAATTAAATATTCAACTAAACAGCCTTGCTTTCAATCGGATTAAATAATTGAGGATTAATGTTTATTTCTATTCACGGAAAATGCCGAAATTGTTGATGATTCGACGAAATAGACGAAAAAGACGATTGAAAAGTTTCAACAGAGTTGTATCGGATACGAATAATGATACGGAAGCAAAAGCAAGTTGTGATCAAATATGTTTCCCCGCCATTGGTATGTATGACTTGCGCATCTGTATTTTAACACAGGGTATAAATTATTTTATGGATACACAATTAATGGATTTATTACTTTTAAAGGAGCTTAGCCCCTAACTCAATATTTTACATAATATTCGAAATTAAAAACACGAATTAGAATTTAATATTGGTCCATTTCAATTAATGTTGATGTTGTTATCTTGCCGTGAAAATATGGGACCCCGATAATCAATATTTAAAGCACAGTGAACATTTCATAATCAGTACACGAGTTGTGTGCGCCATTTGTAATGAACAAAGAAAAACATACCCTACAAAACAATGCGGGAGTAATTATTAATTCACAAACGACAAAATAGTAATAAAAAAAACGTGTAGAATAGAATGAACCAAGTAGGCGCAAACTTCTGTCGTTCAGTTTGGACTGTTCACGTATTTCACCGAGCATAATTTGTTAGAAATTACAATGGGTTTTTTTTCTAAAAAATTAAATATGAATCTCTTAAACATTCACATCACATGCTTTTAGACCCATTTGCGTCTAATTTTAGTTTCTAAAAAATGAAGCCATACACCCTTTAACGTTTCGACGAGGATACTCGGTTCGAGGATGAGGACAAACTCATCCTAGTCGTAACGGTGAATAGTAATGAATACAGTTAAAAATGGAGCCATACACCCTTTAACGTTTCGACGAGGATACTCGGTTCGAGGATGAGGACAAACTCATCCTAGTCGTAACGGTGAATAGTAATGAATACAGTAATTGTGTATTTGTACATATACGTGTAGGATAAAGCACGAGCTCGAGGTTATGCTGGGGAAAGAAATACACAAGAAAATAACCCGACAGGCCGAGGTTTTTCTTCTTCCAAGGATTTGTCTGCAGTCTTTCTTCCCCAGCATAACCGTGGTGAAGTACTTTATCTTGCTTATAAACCGGCTATGTTTACATGTACGTAAAATATGAATATAATAATAATAATAATAATAATAGTGTGTATTTATAATACGCAAATTTCCATACACGTATGCATGCTCAAAGCAAAGCATTTTGGAATCCCAGAATTCCAGTAAGAAAAGCCTTATTTCATATTTTCTTATGGAAAATAAAAAACCTACCCTGGAATTATAACCCGTTACAGATTTGAAGATAAACTTTCAGAAGAATAACCTCGAATTTCCCTGTATATATTCAAAGCCGCCCCCGACTTTCAGACCGCAAGTTATTCCGAGCATATAATATACACCAAAGATCAAAGACATTTCAATATTTATTATAACAACCAATGGACAAGGTACACACATTATATCAGAGTTTATACGACCCCACTCTTACAAACCTGATTTTTTTGATATTTGATGACTTACAATGTCCGTAGGTAAACAAGGGAGTTGGATGGCCGGATGGTTAGCGTGTGCGCGCTGTATCATAAGGTCTGTCATTGAATCAACTGGCGTGGTTTCGATTCCCCGGTTGTACGTGACAAGGAGTAGGGTCGCGTGTCCAACCTCGTGGGTTTTCTCCAGGTCCTCCGGTTTCCTCCCAATGCTAAAGACTCCTACGCGCAAGCGAATTATTGAAATAAAATTGAACCATATGCTAGTCCCGAAACGACCTAGTTTGTGTCGAGCGGACGTTAAACCCCATCTCTCTCTCTCTCTCTCTCTCCCTCCCTCTTTCTCTCTCCCTCTCTCTCCTCCCTCTCTCTCTCTCTCTCTCTCTCTCTCTCTCTACCCCCACTCTCTCTCTCTCTACCCCGCTCGCTCTCTCCGTGGGTAAACGAATATAACTTATGCTATCAAAGGAACAAAACAATTATACCCGAGTGTATAATCATGCGACCCCCGCACCGCCACACTTGAATTACTAGTTCTTTGATGAATCACAATGTCCGTGTGTTGTCTTATTAATGTCTTCCTTGTTGCTCGTGTTTGATGGTTATTATTTGTGATATGTTCCACCTGCATTTACTAAAATGTTTACGAAAACAAAATAACAAGAAATCCCCCCAAAAAACATCTTTTTATGGCTACTCATCTTAAAGGGAGAGAACACAATGAAATTGTTATATCTGATGTATTTGACTCCAGTAGCCACCATATTGTTATATCTAATAGATTAACGTATAGGCGATAATAATTCCTATAGTAAACAACCCTATTATTTCTTGAGCTCCTCAACATTCCCTTCAATGTTATTTAGCGATCGTTTTCGTTATTCTTAAAAATGATAGGAATTTAATGACATCAATGGACAATGATATCAGCTCGCCCTGGTACTTAGCGAACATTAATCCCACACTAATTCAAAGAATTTAAAGACAGCCAAGATATTTTGAAAAAAAACAAAAAAAAACAATTATGCCATCTTATATATTCGATTTTGATTGGATTTGAATCAGATCTGCTGCTAAACGCTCATTGATGATTAACCGTAAAAATGGCTAATCAAGGCTACAGTGTCATTAAAATGAGGATTTCTCGGCTTACAGTGAAGTAATTTGACTGAAATGTTCAGCATACCCTCTTTACATTATAACTATTATAGCGAGGACTGTTAGCTCTTTATCACATCGTCCATAACGTCGCTTTAATGTATAGATACACAAATAGGTAATCGTTACATAGTAAAGTAAATCATTCTTTATTAATTAAAGTTTCTGATATTGCTTTAATATATTCAAAGATATTATACATAATTTTAATAATTACAAAACGAATTTTTAATGTATAAATACAAAACATTTTAAAGTAAGACCAAACATACATTATGCAAGAGCTAAATCTGCCTATTGCAAATCTTTCTTTTGGCCTGAAATGTTATATAAACTATTAATTAAACATTTATTAACATGAAAAGGCCTTAATCAACTCTCGATGTCATCTTATGTGTTTGATTTTCACTGGATTTTAATCCGATCCGCTGTTCAAAGCTCATTGATGATTAAATGCAAAATGGATAATCGAGACCATGTACCGACTTTAGTAATAATGATCGAGACTAGGCCTAAAATTCAAACGCTAATATCTCGGTTCAAAGTTGAGCAATTTGGCTGAAATTTTCAGCATATTCCCTTTAATTATCTAGTTTTTTAACTATTATAGTGGGGACTTCCAGCTCTTTATCTAATCTCCCATAATGCCCCTTTCAACATACATTATTTAAGAGCTGAGCAAAATCTGCCAATTTTAGGTTTTTCTTTGGCTTTTAAATGTTATATAAATGATTAATTAGACATGTTTCAAAATGACATGACCATAATCAACCCCCAGTGCCATCGGGTAGCCCCAAATTTAAGTATATTAGAAAGTTTCGGCCATTTAATGATTTAAAGACTCGAATGACCAGTACGGTGGTTACGATCAAAGCACACATCTTGTCAAAACTACAACCATTGATAACTTCGCCCATTATAAAGTAATTTGACTGAAATGTTTCATTATCTATTTTGAAAATTTTATAGCAAGAACAACCACATCGTTATCTAAATCTCACATAATGTATTTTTAAAGTGTGACTCATTATTCATAATAATACAATACACTGTATACATTACCTAGAATAACAGACATGTCCATTCCCTTATCGATACACATTTAACACAGTTACAGTAAAATCAGATCATTACAAGAGAGCGAGAGAGAGAGAGAAATGGGGTTTAACGTCCTCTCGACACAAACTAGATCATTTCGGGACTAACATATGGTTTAATATTATTTCAATAATTCGCTTGCGCTTAGGGGTCTTTAGCAGTGGGAGGAAACCGGAGGACCTGGATAAAAAAACCCACGAGGTTGGACAGGCGACCCTACTCCTTGTCACGTACAACCGGGGATTCGAAACCCCGCCAGTTGACTGAATGATAGACCTTATGATACAGCGCAAACGGGCTAACCATTCGGCCATCCAACCCCCCTAAAACAAAGAACGAAACTTCTAATTTGCCTTAAAATATTCAAGCGAATTATTGAAATTTTATTTTAAACCATATGTTAGTCCCGAAATAACTGAATTTGTTTCGAGTGGACGTTACCCCCCCCCCCCCACTCTCTCTCTCTAAAATATTCAAAAGCAATATTAACAGGTTAACGTGACTCCTTGGTTACGTCGTGTTACTAATTGGCCGCCATATCTAACAATTATTAGTATGCGGCCCTACTCCGATTCACATCTGTTATGATGTTAGCATTGTTGAAAATCTCAACGCCTTACATGACAAGTATGTCATTGTGCCGGCTGACAAAGCGTCCAATAACTTAGTGTTTATATGTAAACGATATTATTATGACTGTCTGTTCAAAGAACTTAATTTCGGGAAATCAATCGACAGTGCTACGTATAAACGCTCTACTCTTAGTAAGGATGAAATTATATCCAATCACAGATCTGTACTCACTTCATTTGGTACTCCATGTGGAGATACCTATACAGATCTGCCCTTGTTATATCGGATACCTAAACTACATAAAAATCCCTGTTCCACAAAACCACTTTCAAAAGTATTGACATCTATACTAACGGCAGTGAAAGAGGGTATTCAAAAATACTGTGACAAAATATACTCTCGTAGTGGTTTTAATCAAATGTGGATATTAAAAAATTCCAAAGAATTACTTGATGGTTTACAATCTAGATCACTTGCTTCAATCTCATCTATACAAACGTTTGACTTTTCTACTTTGTACACTAAAATTCCCCATAGTAAATTAAATGCTCGGTGAAAAGACATTATTCACAGTGTCTTTTCACCTAAATCGGGAAATGTTAGATATCAATATTTAGTTGTTAATTACAATTCCACATATTTTGTTAAGAACCATAGTGATTCTAAAAATAAATTCACCGCCAACAAGATAATTCAGATGTTGGTTTTTATAATTGATAATATCTTTGTTGAATTTGGAGGGAGAATTTATCAGCAAGTGGTAGGTATCCCCATGGGCACCAACTGTGCACCTTTGCTTGCTGATTTGTTTCTCTATTCCTACGAAGCCGATTACATACAGGCA